CTTCGGGATCTTCCGCGGAAACTTCGGTATTTTCTTCTACCGCGCATCAATTTTTCCATCTTCTCCGTTAGTTGCGCGATTCCCCGCTTGATTTCTGCTACYTYGCTATTGATTGTTGTTTGAGCGGCACTTCCTATTGGCGCTGCTTCCGTAATGGCGGCCGTTTCCGGCAGACGCTCTCTCTCGAGGATCTTGTCACCCATTTCCGCTAACCTTGCGGGTGACGTAATTTCGTCTGCAATGGCGAGGATCTCTTGTGCCCTGGTTGGCATCCTTTGCATCCATAACCTTAGGAGCATTTTTTCGCTAACACTATCACCTGCTAAGCGTTTCATTTCTCTCCAAAGTTCGGACGGTTTTTTGTCTCCTAATTCAACTCCAATTAATAATCGCCTTAGCCGTTGTTCGTCGGATTTAGTTAGTCTGTGTATTAAGGCTTCCTTTAAATGTGTATACGTACATTGCTCGGGGGGGGATGCTAAGATGTCGTGTACCTCTCTTATCAGCGTGGTATYCAAATTCCTTAGCACCGCTGAAAACTTTACGGCATCCGATTTATCGTTGTACGCCGTGAATTCCTTTTCCAACATTACGAACCATAAATTTGGTTCCTCTTTCCAAAAAGCTGGAAGCGTTACATTTCTAAACTCACTGGCGTTGACTTCCTTTGTGTCGGCACGGGTCACGTCGGCTTCGCTGGTTGGTTGCGCCATTGTTCTTCTACTTATTATTTTTTCTATTTTAGTTGTTGTATTATTTTTTTAATTTTTTCTTACGCGGACGTTCCCGAGTTTCGGCACCAATTTACTGTAGAGGGTTTCTCTAGAGTAAAGATAATATTAGACTGAATTTTTATTTTATGATTTTTATTTAACGGATGCGACTTGCTTTTCTTAGTTGTACACTTCTCAACGGCTACGCACAGACTGTACTAGTCTGGTGACCACTACTTGTTAGCGTGGTTCCCTAGCCTTCTAGTAACTTTAGAGGGCGCGACCTTCGGTTGTACCGCTGCAATGCCATGTTATGATTTGACACATATGCCATTTTATTCTACTGACATCAAGCTTCAAAAGCTATACGGCTTATACTCTGCAACAGTAGCACGTCATAGATTTATACCTCTTTGAAAATGTCAAGTTTCATGCCTTAAAACGTGAATTCGCGGCACGCATTACTTTTCTTATTTAATCAAAAGAAAAAAACCGTTGAAAGTCATCGTTTGCTAGTAGGAACTTACGGTGAGCATGCTCTAACCTTAAAAAATTGTGAGGCGTGATTTCGAAAATTCAAAAGCGGTGATTTCGATGTGCAAGACAAAGAACGTTCTGGTAAACCGAAAAAGTTTAAAGATGCGAAACTGCAGGAGTTATTGGATAAAGACCCAACCTAAACTCAAAAACAATTGACAGAAGCATTAAATGTGGCCAAAAAAACGATTAGCTAACGTTTTTTTCATTTTCTTAAAAATTACGTAGTTTTTTCGAAAAAAACCGGTAATGACTTTCCGGTATACCTATTAATTCCAATCTTCAAAAAGTATCTCACTCTTACGAACGTGCTACAAAATCTCGTCTAATATCTTACTAACGAGTACCGTATGCGGACGAGATAATAGAGGATCACCATTGTAGTTTTAGGAGAAATAGATCGACTATAGACCAAATCCTTACTATTCAGAAGATCTTAGAGAAAAAATGGGAATTTAATCAGCCGGTACATCAACTTTATATAGATTTCTAAAAAGCGTACGACTCGGTAAAACGAGAAAAAATGCTCGAAATCCTAATACGACAAGAGATACCAAGAAAATTCGTTAACCTAATTTAACTTTACCTAAAGGAAACTAGGGGTAAAGTGAGGATAGGTAACCAAATGTTGGAAGATTTTTGTATCCATAGCGGGTTAAAACAGGGGGACGCATTGTCACCTCTTTTGTTCAATTTAGTACTGGAATTCGCTGTCAAAGAACTGCAGAAAAGTAAAGATGGTCTACAATTGAATGGGACAACACAATTGTTTACATACGCGGACGATATTGCTTTGTTAGGGGACAATAAAGAGTCATTATACAATAACGCGAAAATACTAATAGATAACACGAAAGATCTGGGGCTACAAATAAGCGCCGAAAAAACCAAATATATGGTCACCGATAGAGCTCAGAATATGCCTAGTACTGGAACTTTGGTCGTCCGGGATAAAATTTTCGAACGAGTCAGCACCTTTAGTTATTTAGGATCGATCATAAACCAGACGAACGAAATTAACGAAGAACTTAAGAAATGAATCAATCTAGGCAACACATGTTTTGATTCGGTTAACATATTACTTAGTAAAAATACAAGTTCTAGGTTCTCTGTGAAATAATATGAGTCTACACTTCGTAGTATGCTGTCGCTCACAAACACAGACATATACAAAACTTACTAGCATGAAGTGGGGATTACGAAACAGAAAATAAAGGGAAGACTGAGAATAGGAAAAATTGTGTAGCTATATTCTGTCTCATTCTCTCGCTGGCTCAATTATTTATGTGTGTCTCTTTTTCTCTTCTTACGTAGTATTGTAGCTGTTTCATCGTCGCGTTATGCCACGTTTGCCGCGCCACGTTTCATCGCCGCGTTATGCTGTGTTATGCTGCGCCACGTTACAATTTTTCAAGTCACCCCCATTCTGAGGAAGTTTTCACTTCAAAAAAGTGATTTCAAGATACATTAGAGAAAAAGAATTAGACAACACTGTAGAATACTTTAGAAGCAGCTGACAAATTCTATTCAAAAACAAGTAAATTACTGTCACATTTTTATTTTGCTTCTTCATAAAATATATTTGATTCATAAAGATCAAAATATGACCTTTGAATTTGATTTTTTTATGTTTTTATATAAAATATTCAAAGACAGGTGGCAGGGTATGAAGTTGAAAAAGCATTTTGAGAGAAGATCACTTTTAGAGCTTTCATTGTATTTGTACAGGAACCTTCGTTACAGTCGAGCAGTATTTTCTATATGTTTTTCATGTCCTTATTCGTCTTTTCTAATGTCTTATTGTCTATTATTCGTCACCCCTAAAATGTCTGTTAGGCAACGTAAAAGTTTAGATGAAAATGAGAATTCGAAATATATAGTAACCAATAAAATTTTCTACCTGAGTGTAATAAAAAGGATATATTATATGTTAAGACCAAATTTCTCAATTAAGAGTCCTCTGGTAATTAGTTGCTGGGGATGAGAAAGAAGGGATTAGAATAAAATTAATCAAACACGTGGTTGAGTCAAACAAAGAAACAATGCCTTTTTTATTGGCTCGTCAGGGAAAAGCCTTGCGGCATAAAAATCCTGGATGATATTTAATTATAACAATGATGGTCCCCCACGTGGTGTTACCACGCGGGAAAATACCGTCGATGTGAAATGTATATAATGGAAAGATCTCACCTTTCGCTAGCTTCTCTTACGTTCCTTAACTAATTTAACTTAACTCCTTTGATTTAGATATATATTCACAAGCGTCCAGTAATGGAATGAAAGAATGTCCTTTTTGTACTGGCCCAGCAGAGCGTACGCACTAGGAGGGAGAAGTGGGGATGCGAGAGGTGGGGGTAGCTACAGAAGCGCTTCGATAGTTACTGGTAGTTGATCGATGCTCGCAATGAGTATCGATCTAGAATCTTAATCGATGGAAGCGGACGCGCGCGAATTTCGAATACCGCTAATTAGTAATACGGTAATTACCGTACGATCCTTTCGGATCGTACATACTCCCCCCGTTGAGAGTGAAACGATCAATGACATTCATAATACATGTATTGTGTTGTGCGCTTGTTACAATCAATTTTACAATATTTGTAAAACGAGTCGCTTAACATATATTATATATCGCTTGCAGCACGAGCTGTTTAACCTTTTCGATATATCCTTCGCAGCACGAGCTGCTTAACTTTTTCGATATATCGCTCACAGCACGAGCTGCTTACTTTATTCAGTGAATCGCTGGCCAGGCGATCTATCTGTTTTGTACGTACAAGAAAATTAATTATTAAAGATACAACGCAAGAAAGTTAATGGTGGTTTACCAATGGAAAAATAGTTATCGCATTTCGCTTGACAACTCCGTGAATCGTCTTCACGGTGAATACTCGTATTGATAGTAGACAAATAGTTTTCACACTTTTTTTGACGACTCCTTGAACAGCTTTCACGGCTATCTCATGTATAGTTGATTTGTAAATGAGAATGACGGTGGTATTCCTTTGATTTTATGCTGGGGTTGGGTCCATTTCTAGCGTTTCTTTGTAATGTGTTTCCATGAAGACAATCGATTGACTGAAGTCTTAATATAATTTTCCTTCGACAATGTCGTAAACGTTCCTTTAATCTAAACGAAATGTGCAGGCGTTAGTACGGTTGAGTCATTTAAATCTGACGAAATATGGCATAACGGGCGTGAATTTAAAATAGCTTCGATTTCGATAGCGAATGTGGTCTACTTCTTCGTATGCGAAAAGCAGTTCGCCCACGTTGCGCCTAAAATGATTTTTGAAAGATTTGACTGCAGCTTCCCACAAACCTCTGAAATGAGGTAATAGGGGATGATTGAAATGTCATGAGATTCTACAATCTACCGCGAAATCATAGACCTTCGCCTTATACTCGTCCGACTCGAGCAAGGCATACAGTTTCTTTAACTGGTTATTAGCCCCGACGAAGTTGGTTCCATTATCAGAATAAACGTGAGTTGAAATAGTTTTTCGACTCACAAACTGCCGGAAAGCGGCCAAAAAGGCATCTGTAGTCAGATCGCTGACTAATTCGATGTGTAAAGCTTTGATAGTCATGCAGAGGAAGATGCACCCGTATATTTAAACGCGACCTTTATTACGGTACTTCTTTTCTTTCGCGTAGATTGGACCGAAGAAATCTACTCCGACGTGGGAGAATGCAGTGGCTTCCTGATATTACTTTATCTTATAGTATTAGTCAATCTTAAATAATAATAAATATGTACCTAAATATTATTAATATACTTAAATATTTCAGTTATTTTCGTAATCTAAGATCGGCGCATGTTTAACATAATATTTATTTCGAAAATGATACGTCTTAATTTGTCAATGATTTCTTTTAGGTGCTTATTTTTGGATATTACTTCCTAGAAAAATAAAATAATTCATTACAATCAAATAAGAAACGTGTCAAATCTTCAAATCTTTTCTGAATTTYTACAAACCTCCATTATTTCTTCACTTTCTTTATACGCTAATCTATAAGCTTCAGACGTCCTTTTTTCCTCTGATTTCATATCCCATTCTTCTTTCAATGGTATTGTTATGGCCGAAATTCCTCAATTAAGAGTCCTCTGGCAATTTGTTTATGCTATGAAGTGGAGAATAAAGGGTTAGGTTAAGGTGTAAAATAAAACACGTGGTTGAGCCAA